TTACACTTTTTTTGGGCCTTGCATGGTTCTTTCAAGAAGTTGAGAGGGGCAATCGATATGTATGTGTTCAACTTGTTAGCTGGGTACGTAATTAGTGCGTTTGTTCCGGATGGAATGATGCGTGAAACGAACACATCCACCCGCCAACAATTGCCCATTGTTGCATGGGGGTCCGAAGAACATTTGGTTGGAGCATCGGGTCAATTAGTGGACGTTCGGGAAGGGATCACTCTCACGATCGTCCAAAAATGGAAGAGTGTGCCATACTCGAGGCATTCTCACGATATGGTAGTGTCAAGTGATAATTCGTGGTAATATTGAGTGATAATTAGTGATACTTCTCGACCGATAATTTGTAATACTGTCAAGGGACTACATATAGGCAGATTCCTTTGCAAGGCTCCAGAATGTCGGCGATCTGGTTTGAATGACGTCCGTTCACCCAGAAAAATGGAGGCAATCATGTGTTGGCACTCGGCCAACTGTTGCTCCGTAAAAGGCTTGTGATGTTGGCGTCACGTGGTCGGGCCATCTGTCATGATGATTGCCTACGGTTTGACATTCTTTCATGTGTGTATGTATCGCTGAGGCATTGTCGGTCTTTTTTGGGACCGAATTGATCTGAACAAGGAGGGATGGGGGAGGTTGCGGATGGCAGGCAATAATGTCATCATTTCGCGTTATGAGTGGCCACCCGCGTTGTCCCACTTATGCTACTCAAAAAAGACGAGACACAATGTTACGAATTATAAGTGGTGAGCATAGGGGATGAGCTCGTCAAGGGGAGAAGAGTGCCACCGGTGTGGGCAGTTTTTTTAGGGATGAACGATGATGAGGATGTCTCGGAGGATGCTTGAAGGCCGACCAGAAAACACTGGGCAGGCCGTTCATGTGTTTTGGTCTGATGAACTTGAAATGATGAACGGGCTCAGCGAAGAGGGAATAACCCTTTTGGTTGTATTGATTCACTCAGACAAGACAGGTAGGGCGCAGCTCGGCCTGGGGGGGGCATTTAATCGATTCCTGTTCCATTTTCTTGAGCTGTAATTCTTATACAGCCATGAAACGGTAATCACTAAACAAGGCAACCTGAAGTGAAGAGCAGTATAGACGGCCAAATCGTAAAGGTGCGCTGATCCAAAATTTACTCTTTATTTCCCCGCCACTGCTTTCATGCGTTAAACAACTGGCTTTACTTTGAGGCGCTGAACGGTTGGAAATATCACTAACCTGATAGCTACCCTCAAGATCTAAATGAAATTCCTACATGCATCTGAAACCTGTTCATTAAAAATCTAAGAGTAGAAAGGGCGCAGTTCAGCTCCGGGTTTCGAAGTTGGGGACAAAGTCGGTTTTTCTCCTGGCAAGGTGAGAGGCTATTTATGATGACGTGAAGCTATAAAATGCCAGGCGTTCCTAGACGACATTTGGCGCAGATGGATTGTGGGCCAAAAGGATGAAGATTTGAGGGAGAACCGACCTGTGCCAAAACTGGCTTGAAAATGACGCCCGTAATATTCCATGGCTCTACAGGAGTCTGCAGGAGCTAACAAAATAGCTTCCCCTCCCCCTAAGTCGAACCACTCCAGAAAGTAAGACGGAAATAACCTATGAATTCTTTACTTTAGTCACCTCTAGGAGTAGAGGGAGCACTATCAAGATCAGGGCCCCTGTATCGAGAACGCAAGTCAGGTCTAAATTCTTTGTGATCAGGGTGCTTCACTTATTGAACAAAATTTTTGGCCCAGATATTTTCCAAATGACACCTGGAGCCTTTCGTATAAGGGCCACCAGGCTAGTTAATTCAGAGGTCTCCTAAGTTCTCACATTTATGGGATTTGTCTTACTTCAATTGATGTACTTGCCGATTGTGATTGTACAATTATGTAGCGCAGTTTCACTGCGTCCACAAATAAATAAATAAATAAATAAATAAATAATATTTCTTCTCGTTGGGTAGCTGAATCGTGGCATTGTCTAACGCAGTCGCGTTGGAGGTATATTTCCTCCCTTGAGTGGGAAAGTCTGAATCTAAATAACTTGTTTTGTGATGGTGACGCTCATTTCCTGTCAGTTGCGACTGGCCCTACGTGTGGTAGTGTCCGCAGATTTACTTGTGACTGAGGAGGGGTTGCGAGGGTACCAGTCAGGTGAGCGCAGTAGAGCCTTACTTGGGGCATTTTTGGTTGTTTTGTCTACTTTTACTATTCACGGACAACTCAACCAACAGGTAAGACTCTGCTTTTTAAACCTGCTGCCTAGAAAGTTTTAGATGCGAGATATGTCTTTAAGTCCGTAGACACTTCCTTTCTGCGAACACATTTTTTATGTGTAATGTAATTATATATTTGTGCTTTCATTTTATTGTACCAATTCTTCGGACCATTTTGTATATCTCACGGAACATCTTATCAAATTTTGTTGGGCATAAAAAATACTCGGGCGCAGTTCGGCTTGAAATAGAGGGGAGTGGACATTTGTACTTTCGACCCTTCGACATTTTCTTTGTTTTACACAAATTGACGGATTTTCTTTCTAAAGTTCACATGTAGTCTCTACAAACTTTGGGTGAGGGCTTCACAAGACTTCACTTGATGGCTCGACACGTTTATGGAAAGTAGCGAAAGTGCAAAATGTCCCCTTTCCCCCCCCCCCTCACCCACCCCCAAAACGAACTTCGCCCAATATTCATCTAAACCATGATAACAGCGCTCGAACTAAATGGTTACTATATTTATATGTTCTAGTTCAACGACATTTGCGGAGTGTTTTCCGATTCAAGTGGTGAGTACGAAGAACCACAGCCAGTGGTAGTATCTCGCAACACTCAGGAAGATCGCAATCCATTCGGGTCAACGTTCTGTTACGGTACTGATCAGATTGTTGTTGAGGTGAGTTTGTTCTCGAGAAACGTCGATGAAAACATGTGTGTACCGGCCAATACGGCAAAAGGAGGAGGTGAAGCGTTGATTTCCAGTCGCGGCTTCTCAGGACGAGTTGTCTTGGGAGGGGGCAGCGCCACAGCGATGCTAAGTGAGTTGGGTCCTGGCGCGGTTGCTGCCTAAGTTACCCCGCTTGCTACGTATTTTGTCGCGATTGGGAATCAACACTTCGCACCCAGGGAACTTACAAGACTATTGTAGTATGTCGCATTGTCGCGCGCGGCGTATCATGCGACTGTGCGCGGCAAGTTCTCGCTGTTCATCAGTTTGACAGTTGGAGCAGTAAAACTCATATGAGCTCAAGCAAAGACAAGACTCTATGACGGGTATTTCTGAATTTCCCCTTACATTTGGCCCTCGTATACGAACGGCCAGGCAGGATAACTCGTACGTCAAGCGCGATGTCGCTCTCGACGCCCATCAGCGCGATATCCTACGAATGTCTTGTCACACACCTGTTTTAGAGGCGCAGCGGGTCCTGTACTGCTCATCTTTTGGCGTTTTCAAGCCTGAGTTTTGGACGCAAAAATTATAACGGCGTATCGTGCTGTCCCGGCAGTCTCATTTCTTATCTGAATGTGTAGTAACAATGTGAAACTCCAAAAATTTATTCCAAACAACTCGAAAGACACCAAACGTTTTGAGGGTTTTTTCAAAAACTTAATTGCGAGATAAGATATATTGCTAGAAACTTTCGAAACTTTTGGTGTCTTTCGAGTTTTTGGAGTAATTTTTTGGAGTTTCACATTGTTACTACACATTCAGGCAAGAATTATAGTGAATTTGAGGGAAAAGTGAATAGTGAATTTGAGGGAAAAAAATGAAAAATGAACCTACATACATCCATATGACCTCATACATCCACGATGAAGGTTTCCATGAGCCTTGTTTTCCTTGGATACTTTCATCGGATTCCTGGCGCTGTTTGGCTTGATGGGGGCATTTTGCTGGTGATCACAGCTGATGCTTCGTGGGGTTACCTGTAAGTCTCCTGTAAAGGCTATGAATCTAGCAGGAATCGTCTGCAACTAACAAGAGTGTAACGTGTGGTGTTCTTTTGTAAAAGTCAGCAACACCAACATTGCGACTGCAAAATGACCCAAAGTAACAGCAGCCGATTTCGCTTATAGGAGCTATTGGTCGAATCATTTTCAGGTTATAGGCAGGCCAATATAGCTTGCTGTCACACTCTCTCCAGTAATGTGTGTCATGCTGTGATATGTGAATCGAGAAATTTTGTGTAAAAATGTAGATATTGTAGATATTACCCGCATGTAAAAGGTTGGCCAAATTATTCAGATGATTTTCTTGTAAGTAACCCGCCACTCATGAGCTCTTCACGAGGTACAGCATCGTATGTGTGAAAAGGTGATGTCAGTGTCCCCCCCCCCCTACCTCAGCATTTCTATGGTAGGTCAGAAGTCCGTAGTACCTTTTAATAAAAAAACCAAGCATTTTTCCCTATCCTGCTTACCACCTTCCTAAATTTTCCAAAATCCCACCACTTTTTCCAGTTTTTCAGGAATTTTCCAGTTCTCACCCAAAAAACTCTCGTCAGGCGAGGGAGGGAGGATTGTATCGGAAGTCGGAAAAATTCCTGTCAAGGCCAGGTATTACCTCCCCCCTGACGGAATTCTGCGAACGATGCTGTATCCCGGCTCTTCATTTATTGAGGTTTTTATCGCTTGAGACTCCATACTGTGACTGTATTAGCAAAGTACACTCTCGTTCGCTGCGAACGAAGGGGCGTGTCGTGAGACTGGGTTGGCCCACCTCCACCGTGTTCTGCACCAGTTGTTGAAGTGACTAGGTGACAATTGGCACGAACCAGTCCAGAACCAGTATGATGCAGTCCTCCTGCTTGCCGGTCCCTGCGCCAAAGCCCTCCCCTGACACGCCCCATCATCCGCAGCAGACAATACTCTAGCACGGAAATGATGATTTTGCACTGTGTATATGAAACTGCTTCTGAGCGATTTCATTGGAATTATGATGTTTTGAAATATTATAGTTTAATTTCCAAGCCCATTTTCTAGGTCCTTTGTGCTTTTTGAATTTGTAGACTTTTTGTGTGTTTTTCATATTCCTTACTTGTTTTTAGCGAAATTTACCATTTTTCCATCGTTGTAACCCTTTTGGTCTCTTGTTTTGGTCGTCATGTAACACTTACCTTTTTGTATATAAATGAGTGCTC